TCTCTCTCTCTGTCTGTCTGTCTGGGAGCCATCTTTCACTGGTCTGAATTCTGGGCATTCCTCGTGTACCAAGGAAGCAGGCAAAGGCGGACAAGGAGAATTTCCTGATGTTCATGTTTCTCGGCTTTTGAACCATCGCTATGACCGCCTGCCCTGGACAAGCCAAGCCAAGGTCTGCGGCATTAATTGGCCTGGGCGTGCTGCTTGCTGCACCCTCAGCTGGAACCAGAACCACTTCAATTTCAATGCTTTGCGCTCAAACCATCATGGCAGCTAGAAGCGTTGGCTGAACCTTTTCGAGCAGCAGTCTGACACATATGTTGGCCGGACACGTTCATGCGCCGAATTCGGAAGAAGTGACATAATCTGTCTGGGAACTGACCGAGGGCCTCACCATGATCGGGCCGTCGTGGGGCCTTCGACCTCAGCTTCACCAGCGCGCAGATAGGTGAGTTCAGCTGGAGAGATGAGATCATTGAGCTATGCGCATGGCCCATCGCCAAATCTCGCACCAGCTATCAGCCGGGTGTGACAAGCAACATGTTAAGAGTGCTGCAAGGCGTCAAGGAGTTCACGGGCCTAGGCACGCTACCCAGCCTGCAGTGGAAGTTGTGAGGCTTTCACGGTTCAGGCATTGGGGCTTGAATGCTTCGCGCATCTGAAGCAGCCTCTGTGATGGCAAGGCGTCGGCATGGTGGGTATGAAAACATCGCTCTTCAAAATCGAGGCACGGCTCATTGAAACATGGCAAGCTAATGCCTCCCCAGCTGCTGTCAGATCGAAATCTCCTGCGACAAGTCGCTAGTCCTCGAGAGAGCGATGTGCAAGGTGCACCTGCCTGTTTCGCTCACCTTACTGTCCTCTGTCTATAGCCAGAACATATCAGTGTGTATGGCCCAGTGATAGCCGATAGCCTGGCCCTTGCCTGCCAGAGAGTCAAGCCCTTCGAGGGCATCCATGACCTTCAGAAGTCTCAGGCCTTCCTGCACCGCTGCGCAAGGAATGTCTGCTTGATGCCGTAGCATCTGTAGCATGGCTGCTTCTCCAAGCAAGTGGCGGAGACACCACGTTCATAAGTCATGTTCAGCAGCATTTGCAGCTGCATGGCGTCATATGCTTAGCTAAATATGCAGGATGGGTTGAGGGATATTGTCACCCATCTTTTTGTAAGGCATCTCACTGCTACGGATGTTAGAACAGGATCTCTGCATCATACTACGCACAGGCCCCCACCAAACTGATGTACAATGACCCCACCTGAACCGAGGTTTGGATAATTGCATATTCTGTGCGCGTGACAGCCAAAATGTACTGAGGGGCCTCCGTATTATGCGTTTTTGTTGGTGACGTGGTGTCACGTGCAGACGTTCTCCCACTGCCGTACTGCAGTATGTTCGATTCGATGCCCAGACCGTAGCCCCAACTCATTCCCCCGGTTGGCACGCTAAGCAAAGGCTTTGCTTGCAATACTGACCCCTTGCTCATGGCTGTTTTGAAGCTTCTCATGCTGACTGACATTTCCCCCCACCTCCGCCTGATGATGTAAGTTTCCGGCTGGGGTGATGATGTTCATTTCCAAGGCCCCGAAATGTACAATGAGGGTAGGCTTCCAGAAGCTGGATGGGCCACGGGCTCTATGTACTTCTCGAAACGACTCAACGTGCAGCGCATAACTGTCCATTGCTGAGCTTCGAAAGTCTGAAGGGCAACGCCTGCGTGCTGAACCCATCGGCTTGTGACGTGATGTCACGAACCTACCAAGCGAGGCGCCAAAGCTCAGCTTCTGTCTCATACACGTGACTCATAATTTTTTCCGTCAGGAGAAGACATCATGATATTTGTAACGTCTGCCGCAGTTTCCCGCTCTTTGCGCTGCTCTCCTTGGCAATCCTGTCCAACCTCGGCGCAGCCTTCTGCTTGCCCGGGGCCTCAGCTCCAACACGCCACTGGGACCGATTGGTGCCTCGAAGCACCACACGAACAATTGCTAGACGGCAACTTCTGTCCAGAAACGCATGGGATGCTACGCTGCGGTACCTCCCAAAGCTCTGGGGTCACCAAGCTTCTGAAGCTGAAGCTTCTGAGGTTCTCATACTCCAAGGCTCTGGCAGACACCTCACTTCGTGCATGGGCGGGCACTTTCACCATCGCAAGTCCCTTGCTGGCGTCAAGTGCTCAGAATTTTGCTACGTTATCATTTGACAAGAGAGTTCTTGCAATAGTTCAGGACGGGAGGTATTGTTGCCTGGGCGGTCTTGATGCCAGACCTTGGGGAGATCCCGACAGTCACGTACTCAGAAATGTCGCACACAGACTCTTTGCCCGGCAAAACGTGCGTAGATTGAGCGGGCACACTGGTTCCTTATCTGTCGCTTGCATGGCGCCTTCACTGAGTCCTGGGCAGCTTTGGTGGCGCACTGAGAGTTAGAGGAAAGATGCTTTATGGATTGAACGTGTACATGTCGGACCGGGATGGACAGAGTGGAGGGCGCAGCAGCCAGGTGGGGCAGCTTGCTCCTGGACTCTCGCGCATGTCTGAGACAAGCCCTTCTCTTCACATGGCCGACATGGCATTGAGCGCGTTGATATCACACCCGACGTTTTTTTAGAGTATGAATGTGCTGACAGCTGGCTGTCGAACAAATTTCTTGGCTCTTGTCTGCCCTGCTTGAGTAGCTGTGCAGTCTGAGTAGTCCAAGCTTCAAGCCTTCTACACATGGTTGCCACCCAACTCGCTTCAGCATGGAAATCCACTTCTCACATTCATCCATAGAATCCAAATTAATTCAGAATTCTCAGAAGTGTTTCCTCCTTCACCTGAGGGATACGCCTGTCAAGGTACAGTGAGACACGCGATTTCCAGCTACTTGGCCGTTTCAGAGCGTCGAGTTGTCCCTCAAGGTACATGGCTGCCTGGGCAGCACGCTGCAAGGAAGTTGACAGTTTTTCACGTACCAAACCAAGAGACAACGAGGTTTGGATGGACTTTCTTCGCCGCTTGCATCATCGATCTCTTCATGATAATCACAGGCCTTCCAAAGCAATTGGCTTAGGTTTCTGTGCGCATGTCAACTCACGACGTTTTAGCGGTAAGTGACCACCTCATGGTGGTCAGAATTATCAAGCGCCGCGAACCATGCTGAAGTTGAAGCCCTGTGCGCAGCTATGTGCTGGCTGTGCCTTTTCAAGCGATCCGACGACGAAGAGGCAGCTGTTGCCGAGCAGGCCGTCCGCCAATGCTTTCAGCACACGTTGTAGTACAGGCTTCACATTGGAGTATTGGAAGTTCCCAGGCTACAGTAGACTCAGTAGATCCTCTCTACCCTGCCCAGGCTGCTGCTGATCGAGCATTCTGTGATGCGTGTAGATCTTGGAAATTTGTCCATTTTCACATTATGCGTACGGACCATTAACCAAGGACATGTGTCTTGCATGTTTGCGTTACTTCCCAATCAGGTTGTCCAAGCTTCCATTACTCAGGCTCGAGGAGGAGCGTGCCTTGGGCTTCACAAAAGCGTCGGAGTTTTCTCCTGACTACGCCTTGCACTCAGCAAGCTGTCGACTAATTCTCTGTGCCAGAACACTAGAAGCTGCTACGTGCAGACCTGTCTAGCTCAGATGTGCTGCGAACATGATAGTTCGTGTTCTAGGTAGCAGTTGTGTATGCCGAAGATGCACTGATACAAGTCAGAAGGCCCTTTATGTTATAGCTTTCACATGTCACTATGCTGTCAAGCTGCAGGGCGCCACAAATGCCTGACGCATGCGGCCTCAGTCGGTGCGCCACCTTAAGCAGCAGAATGCTTTAGTCACTTTGGTGCCTGCCCCACAACAGATTAAGAGAGATCTGCAACCTTGTGGCCCTAAAGACAAGTTGTCAACCATACCCTCTCATGCTCAGGTGTTATGTTATGTAGCATCCTAAGACATCCTACTCAAAAGTATTTCCAAGTGCCTCACGCAGTCACAATTTGCATCACTTCGTTGTGCCTTTTGCTTTTCACACGGAGGTGTTGCCAGTCCGCTAACTGTGGTATGGCGCGCAAGAGTTCAGAAAAGCTGCAGAGACTGACTGGCTGTGCGGATGTGGTAGCTTTCTTCTTGACCAAGTTTCATGACCCCTCAATGCGCTGTTGAGATTTTTCATTTTGGTAAGTAGCAGGACTCCCAGGAGGCAGATTGTGACTTCACGCGCGCACATGACCTCAGAAAGAAGTTTTTCAACTTTGGCATGATGCCATTCAATCAGCAAGTGACATCAAGCGAGATCACACCTGTCAAGCTTAAGCAGCTTAGCCAGATAGTCAAGTGGCAAAGTCCCAGATGGCAGAAATGCCTATTCCATTTAGCACACAAGTTCTCCACAGCGATATATGCCAAGTCACAACAAGTCGGTTGCTAGTTTTCAGTCTTTGACGATTTTCAGCAGATCATTCAGCAGATGGCGCCCATAGCCACGCCGGCTGGGGACCTGGCGGTCGCCTTCCAAATTCGCAAGTTGTTTCAAAGATGTTCGAAGGTCACAAGCCTGGGCTGCCCGCCCGTGCGAGGCCTGCAAGCCTCGGCCTTGGCGCAACGCAAATCGACTTGCAGCCGCGACCTCTCAGTGATCATGGGCCTTTATACGAATGTCTAATGTACTCAGTAGGGTTAAAAGTCGGCAACTTGCACAGGGTTACTCTTTTCTATCAGATCAGGCCTTCCGGCCATCACTGCTGGAGTCCAGAGAGTCGCACGTGTACGTCCGAATACTTGCATAAGCTGGTGGCCAACAAAGTACCAGAAAAAATGCTTCCGGCCAAGGCTCAGCGAACGCAATTGCTGGGACCTGAGCAGCGACTGTCAGCGTGCCGTCGTCTTCGTGGTAACTGTCAACATGCTCCTTGATGTTGGCTGAAATCTGTTTATTTTGGCTATGTTCAGGATAGCCCGGCCTCGCCGCATTGCGCGCCGGGCCTTCTTCAGCAAGGCAATCTGTGATTGCTAGGTTGTCTGCATTGGTCTCATGTTTGTCAAGCCTGAGGCACCACCGCCACCGCCGCCGATTTGGGCGCGACCGGCCACTTGGGCCACTCTTGCGCTCATTGCAGGGCGCTCTGGCGATGAGAATCTTGAAAATGTGATGTTTCTTCTGAGTCTAGGCGGGCCTAGCTCTTGCTGCTCGATACGCATGGAGAAAGCTTCGCAAGCAGTCCTCCACGGCCAACATGTCTGAGACCCAGTTTTTGAGGTGTGTTACAGAAGTGACATTTGTGTTTGAGACTAACTGAAGCCCAGGTCGGTGGCAGAGATGTACTTCCAGCTGGAAAAGAGCTTGGCACTCAGCAGGTTCTTGCCAGCAGGGGGCAATCCTCCTGCAGCAATGCTTCGACTTGCAAGCCGGGCTTGTGATGACAGTCGCGGAATAATCAAGTTCAGCCTAATGCAGATGTGCGGCCACTTTTGTCTTTAGCCAGATTGTCGAGCCTCCAACATGTCCAAACCTGCTATCTGTGGTAAGTAATGCTGGATCCAGTTATTGCAGTTTGGCTAATCCCGTCACAGAGCCTGGACAATGGTACATGTAATTGATAATGACGGGATGTCTACTGGGGATTATCGGACAAGAACATGGCAAGGAGGTTTGCAATGACAGCGGTTTGTATCTGTTTTGGGGCTAGGCCCATCATCAGTTTGTTCCCAGGTTCTGCAAGTACATATTGACTGATCTGAGGAGACACTTATGGACCTGTGCATAATGAGCTTTTGCCCCAGTACAGGTGCTGGTGCACCGACCTCTGCTTCCGTGACCACGAGCAGCATGCCGAAGGCCGTGGCACCATTGCGACAACCTCAAGCAACCTCCAAGTCCTCAAACTACCGATGGTACACGTTCGTGACCATTCGTGCCGGGGAGCGGACCCACAAGAAAATGAGCTCATATTTCAGCTCCAAGGCCTACAGCGCCACCAAGACTTCCAAGTGCTCCAATTCCTGCAAAGGCAAATCTGCTGGTGCAACACAGGGCTGTATCTTTAGCATAGTCACTTTCTTGAGAAACATTTGCTTCGCTACCATGTCTCGACAGGAATCTGTCGCGTCTCCAAAAGATGCAGCAGGCTCAGTGGAGGTTCTTGCAACAGTGACAGGCTGAAAAGTCGATTCTTGCACTGTCCCGCACCATGACTAGCCAAGGAACCAAAAGCAAACCCGACTTCAACAACGGCCCCAACTCCCGTGACCACCCCACCACCCGTAGCCACACCGCCTGCAGCTGCACCACTTCCACCTGCAACTCCGCCACCAGCTGCTACACCCCCACCAGCTGCCGCACCTTTGCCAGCTGCAGTGCCCCCGCCAGCTGCCACAGCACCTCCACCCGAGGCAGCTCAGCCAACCAAGCCACCCGCTTCCGAGTCCAAGAGCGAAAAGGAGCCTTCGAAAGAAGAAGTTCCTCCAGAGACCAGCCCTGCAAAGGAAGCACCTCCCAGCACCCCTTCCTCTTCCGATTCCAAGAAAAGTGAGGCAATGAACACCCCTCTTGTGTCTTGCACGTTGGGCTTCCATCCGGACAGGCAAAAGAGAAGAAGGGCTTTGGCTGGTTGCTGAAAAGGAGAATGTGCCTTAGCAGCATGCTGCTCCAATCCATGATGTCTGCTGAAGCAGGAACAAGTCGGCAGAGGACCAGAGCTCATAGAACTCAAGTCGCAAAGCCCGGCACTTGCCGGGCTCAAGCTTTTGGCGGCAGGCTCCCCTCCTGGCTGAGCTCTTAGAGGAAAAGGACGAAGACGGTCAGTTTGGCCCTGAGCCCTGCACACTCCATAGCAACTGACCTACTCACCTGAACAGCTGGATGGGCTTGGAAAGGCCTCCGACGGTCTACTTGCGCGCAGTTGCCAGCGAGCTCTGTTGATGTCCCAGATTCCTGGACGACATGTCAGTGCAGACACGAGTTGAATTCAATGGCTTCTGGTCACTTTGCTGAGGTGTGGATGCGCCAAGTGGTGTGTTCGAAGGAACAGAGGGCCTGAAGGCAGCTTGGCAACAACAGGAGCATCAGCGCTCAAACAAAGCACGCTGTTCAGAGCAGAGTGAAAGAGGTCATGGCAGCTAAGGTGGTTCCGGCCTCTGTGAGGAGCTTGGCTGAGCTACATGCTCTTTCAGAGTCTGAGATGAGAGGAGATGAAGCCAATTTGGCCGCTGAGTTTTCTTGAATGAACTGAACTGTGATGGGCGATAAGAAAGCATGGAAAGCCATCTTTGTTTCAAGAGTTTCAGGCTAGGATTTAGGTAGCTCGGTGACCTGCAGGTGACCTTGAGCCTTGACGCTTCTTGACGCCATGGTGGGTAAACGCATCAGTCTGGACAAGAACATCCCTGCCTCCCCCGCAGCCAGCAAGGAACTGTCTGCTAACCTGGAGCGCACGGCTTTGTGCTCATTCTTCGCTATGGGCAAATGCTTGAGGGGGAAGGAGTGCAAGTTTGCTCACGACGCGTCTCAGATTCGACCCAAACCAGACTTGATACGGACCAGCCTGTGCCATGATTTCATGCGGAAAGGTTCGTGCAAGAATGGGGACAAATGCAAGTACGCACATGGTGAAGCACAGCTCCGGCAGAACAAGGAGCAGATTCTTCCAAAGCAGAATGCGTGCGTGGTGATGAAGTCCACTCTGCTATGGGATCCGCTGGGCCTTGACATGGATATGCCTGCAGCCAAGGAGTCGACTCCAATAAGTGCGTTGATCCCGGTGCTACAGAGGTTGATGGGCAAGCGCAAACCAAGCATTCCGGTCGAGGTGGGACAGCTGGGTTGTGTAGGCAGGTAGGCATACAGCTTGAGGCGGATCGTAAGTACTTCAGGCCTTTTTTTGCCCAAGCACATCAGCCCTGAGGCGAAGAAGCCAGGCGAGCTCAAGATTGCCAGCCAACCTGGTCCGACTCTGCTCAAGGGCGAGTGCCAAAATCAAACACTCCCAGAGGCCCTCTCGAGCCACCCGTTCAAGGTTGTACTGCGAGCGGACGGCCAAATCACTTGTGCCGAGGCTGTTGATGTCTTCCCTGTACTTCCCAAGGACTTGGCATTTCCAGTTCATGTCAAGAACACGTTCTTGGACTTTGATGCGGAAATCCCTCCTTGTGACTTTGTTCGGTTCTGCACAGAGCCGGCTGATGTTGGGCGGGCGTGAACTCCTCACTGCCAGAGCCCCTGTTTGAAGTCTTGCGGACATGGCACCGCCCTACTAATTTGTGAAAGTTGCTAAACAGAGCTGCAGTTGAATGAGCTTCAGGGCAGACTTGTAGAGACGTGCAATTGAGACTTAAAAAGCCCGGGCGGCCTTTTGAGCTCACAACTGCCCTCCATTGCCATGGCAACTTTTTAAGGTTTAAGATTGTTCCTAAAACCTCGACTTTCTCAAGCACACTTGCCAGTGAAGACCAACCAGCACAAGACTTGCAAGACGGTCTCCGCAAGCAGGTCGTGCACCATCCTGGCAATTCAGCTTCTGGTTCCGGGAAAACGGGTACAAACTTGATTTGTGCAAGGGTCAGTCAGACTTCACCAGCACTGGGGCAGTGGCTGCTTGCCAGTGACACAGCACGTCTTGGTCACACGGACCTTGGTTTCGTACAGTGGCCGCTCGACAGTGGACGGCCAACTGCAGAGCTAAGTCAAGAAAGCTACGGTCCCAACCAGATCTCCGGGCATTGCAGGACGTTGTTCTAAAAGAAAGCCCAGTTTTGATGCATTTTGAGCAGAAGGCCGAGGCACTGTCCAACATTTTAATTTACAGGATTCTTAAGCAGCTGCGCGCCAGCTGCGATTCCTTTTCATTGCACGTGCTGCTACCTCTCGGCATGCGCTTCGCATCTGCATCAGTGGCGGGCGAGGAGGTATCTCAAAAAGAAAACAGGTAATACCCATAGAGAAGCCCACAATCCCTTCCAGTGATTGGGACCGGCCATGTGCTTTCGCAGCAATTGTTGTCTCAAGTCTTCAGGTGCCCGTTGCCACGCGCTCGGTGCTGCTGCACGCGGCAGCACCTTGGACTGCATTGAAGAGCTGTCAGCTGAAGCCGGCCACGTTGCCAAACGGCCATACACTTGAAATGCAGAATTGCAAAGCCTTTGCAACGCCCAGAATTCGAATCCATGCAGAAGTCGCAAGATTCTAGGTTGTCATTGGTTTTCAAGTACAGTAAAGCACATGAGGCTTTGCAGAATCAGCCCGCATGCCTAGGTGAAATCGGAGGCTGAGAAGCTCACTCCGAAACTTGCTGCGGAGGTCTCCCCGCTGCAATGCAATTACTGCAGGTCGAGATTTCGATGCTGAAGTGAATGGATGATGGCTGTTGATGAGCGATACCACACAGTATGCTTGTGTGAGCAGTGATATAGCTGAATATAGCTGTGATGAGAGGGTGTCCTGCGCCGGTGTTTGATCTTTGCCCGAGGGCGCCATGAGCGTGGCAAAGTCCATGATTCGAGAACTGGTCGACAGGGCAGCTGAGATCAAGGAGCCTGTTTCTTGGTTCCCTTGCATCATGCTTGAAGCAGCTAGCTTATGCCTTGTGCGTCGACACGCTGTAGCGCGCCTGATGGCAAATTGGGAAGGATGCCAAAGAAAAGAGGGAGGCCTTGGACCAAATTGCGCGGCGCTCAGCCTTGTCTTGAAGTTGAACCAATGATTTACACAAGCCTTGGAATTCTATGCAACATCCAGCTTCCATCGAAATTCCTGAGGTGCTGATAAGCGAGAGCTCCCAGAGCCTGGCCAGCAGTATCGCGCCAGATGTGGAAGTAGGCCCATGGAAAGCCCTTGGCCGCGTGTCATAGAAGAAGGAACCTTGCTCTTGACTTAGCTACTGGGGCAGGCCCGCCAGTCTATGATGGTCCTCTGAGATACAAGTCTCTTGAACAGATGTTTGATATGTTCGCCCGACACGCTTCTGCAGAAGGTTTCTTTCGAGGCCGTGCATTTCTTGACTCTTTTCGAAATGAAATCTATCAGGGCAGTAATAAACCTGACTATACCTAAAACGCTCACACCTGCCAGCTACCTGGACGGTGTCATGGACAACCTCCAGCAGAACATGATGCAAGCTTTTACCGGCGGGCAGGCCCCACGCTTCAGCTAGCATTCACATACACGCGGTGTTCCCAGTTTGTGGGGGTGCCAAGTCACACGTGATTTTTGTTACTGCATGATGGCAGTGCCGTCCGTAACTAGAGTAGCGGAAGCAGGATGCATCTGGCCAGTCTGCGGAGACCTCAGTGACAAGGCCTGTCATCCAGCAGCTATGATGCAAACATGCGGGGATCAGGTAGCCGAGATTACGGCCAGGGCCGAGCAAGCTGAAAAAGCGCAGACCGCGCTGTCAGCTATCTTTAAGATCTCTGAAGGGAAGGCCCGCCTTCATACTCCCACTTCAAGCTTTGGACTCTCAACCTGAGTGGCACATTAATTTGACATCTGCCCCCTCGCCTGTGCAGGTTCAAAAGTTGATGGAGAAAAAGTCCGAGAAAGTTCAGAAGGAGAGTCCTTTTGTGCTGCCGCATGAAGTGTGAAGCGCCCAAACCTATCATGCTAAAAGAATAGGAAGTCAGCATCCATCCCACCTGCCGAACGGACGAAAGGGAGTTGGGTAGCTGGAAAAAGCAGGAGGATATTCGAGAAATTCTGGCCTAAAGTGACAACGAAGCCTCCCCAAGCCACGACAGCTGTGCAGGATCTGCTCGGCGGCCTTCTGAGCGGCGACGCGTAACCAGCAAGGCAGCATGGCATATTTTGCAAGCCCCTCATCGATTGCAGCATAAGGCTTCATGTTCAACAATCCTTTAGGCTGGCAACCCACCAAGTTTTGAGTGCTCGCTGCAGTGAACCTGTGGGCCCAGGGCAGGCCGTTGAAGTAAAGTACATCCTACGGCATGTGTCTGAGTTCAGTCACGCAGCAGCAGCGGTGGAGTAAGCCAGGGTTAACGTTGACAAACAGAGTGGAACACTGAAGCTCATGGCCTTCCGCGGTGGTCACATCATCATCTCCTGAGGCAGTCATAATGGTGAAAAAGCAAAGAGCTCTTTCCGCAGGATACGGTTGTGGAGACTGTATCCAAGCGGAAACACCCTCGTAGCTCCAAATCATTACAGTTCCACACTGTCTGTGTCACAGCGCATCGTGCTTTCACCACAACATGGTGGGCTTGGCCCCACCGTAGACAGCCCACAAGACATAAGCTGTCCAATGAGTTTCTTCAACTTTCCGAGGCCAGTGGCCTGTAGGGAGCTCACACAAGAAGTGCGCATGCACTCGTTTGGGCTTCCGTACCCAGCAAATGCCACAAGAAAAAAGCTGTGGCAAAGCACGCATGAACTTTGAGGCTGCTGCCACGTTTTTATTTGATTCAGATCATCAGAAAACCGGTCTGCTCTTGAGATGGCTGTGCGCTCCACAAACAGCAGAAGACAGCTGAACACATCGCAGGCAACCTCTTTGCCAAATATACCCCCAAAGCTTGTCTGCCATTGCCATGGAGATCGCCGTGCAGTCTGTGGCTGTGCCTGCCGTGGTCAAGGCTGGGAGATTTTGGGCCAACATGTTCTTGAGGTCGTTTCGTGCTGCAAACGAGAAGTGCTGGTAAAACACCACGGGAGAGCTTTCTGGGTGCCTCAGATTTACCAGCTCTGAATCGGGGAAAGCCGGCCCGAGGCTTGCATTCGTTAAGGCAGTCAAGGTTGCTTCTGCTGAGCAAACCACCAGCAAACGAAGCAAACACCCACCTTCTGGTGGCGACATAGCTCCACTGATACACGCGATGCCAATGGCAAGTGCCAAGGGGTCTCCTGCTTTGAGGGCCCATTCTCACGCAGGTGCAGGCTGGCGATGTTGACCAAACAGGTTCCTCGACAACATCGTAAACCTGACAAGCCAGTACAGTACAAGAAGATACTTGTACCTTGAATGGAAGATGATGTTGAAATCTTCTCTTCCAGATGCCCGAGTCGATCCCTTTCATGTCAAGGGCTTTCCATTTGACAACAGCTTGGATACTGCTTGGTCAGCAAGAATTGCTGTACTACTGAACACCCAGCAAAGCCCGACCGGCCCAGTATTCGAATCCCGCATGATCCTAGAAGAACGAAGCCTTGCAGAGGACAAAGGCAAGGAGGATCTGGAAGACGCCGCGTCAATAGTGGCTGTGCTCAAGGCTCGTCTAAAATCTATTTGCGCATAACCTGAAAGGCGAGGCACAATACCTGATGGCTTCCTTGTTGCGAGGCAGCGGGCTTCAGCGCTACTGCTATCCTAGCGCTGGGTCACTCGACATCCGCACTGCGTCTTGCGGGCTTCCAAGCTGACGAGCTTCTCGCTGCGGGCCAGGATGCTGCAGGCTGCGGATCTGCTGCAATGGTACATAGACAACGTCACATCGTCATCCATGGCTTCGGGGGTGCAAGCCACTACCAAACAGTCCAATTCATTTCTGCACCCGAAAGATGTTCAAGGTAAAGCAGAGCAAACAAAGCAGCGGGAGACAAGAAAAGAAGCAGCATGAGAACTGAAGCCAGACCACCCGTGCAACAGAGAGGTGGGTGGCATTCTACGACGACGCAAAGAGGAACCACAGACAGTGAAACGGATTAGGAAAACTGAAACAAAAGGCAAAGCTAGGCAAACAATGAAGAAATGGTGAAGAGAAGCAAGCGCCACGGGATCAGAACAAAAAAGAGGGCATGAACAATCACCAAGTTATCAGGGTGAAGGATGCGAAAGCAAAATCAGCGGAAGTGACTAGTGACTAGCACACTCTCGGCTCACCATTGCCCTGGCGGATGCACAAAGTGTTGTGAACCAAGAAAGCTGCTGGCACTAGTAACATGCATGAGTGTGACTTTAACGCTGGAATGCATAAGGGGATGCACGTCGAATTACAGCAGAAAAGTGCACACGCACAGGCACTACAGAGCTCAGCAATATGTGTGGCATTTGGCCTGTCATGTCTGAGAGCAAAGCTTCACAAAGCCGAGGATCCTGGAAATGCATTACTGAAAACTCCTGAACCCAAATCTCTAGCAGGACTCCGAGCTGCTGGATACTCAGCCAAAGCGCTGCAAGATTTAGGCCCGAGTAACTGCATGCATGCATAAGTTTCAGGGGTTCAGCATGGATGAAGAGCAAAAACGTGCTTCGAGGTTGGTGATTTATCTGAGTGCCACATCTGTGCGCGATGTCCACACCGTGTACCCCTGCATGGTACTGCTGTGTTCAGGTGTTACTCTTCCGGACCTTAAAGATGCAGGGTACTCTCCTGGCGATCTGCAGGACGCGTCAACTGCTCGCCACGGGCTACGTAATTGCTCTGTTAGCAACTGAGTTGTGGAGATGTGCTGAGCCATTCTTCGAGCTCTGCAACATCATAGCATGGTGAGAATCGGGTTTGCTTTCAGCGCGCTTTGCTGCACAGGGTGAACCATCTGTGTCGTCGGTGCAGGATCTGGGACTCACGGCGTATGAGTTGCGGCTTCTAAAATTCGAGGCTGGAAACACCTGGTGCTTTGGGTGTATCTCAGATTTCGGAAATTCTTTCTCAAGTCCCGATAATGTCTATTCTCTCTACTATGAGAGACCGTACGTATTTGCAAGCCGAAGAAAGAAGAAGTGTATGTTTGCTTTGCAGACATCATCACGAAGGCTGCTCAGTTACGCCACTCTGGATTTCCGGCAAAGAAGCTTTTGGACTCTGGATACAGCGCCGAAGAGCTGTCACTTGAATTGAATGGCACGCGTCTCGGAATCAAAGCAGAAAGGAAAACCAACATATCCAGCTCAGGAAAACTGGCGGTTATACAGCGCAGGAGAGCGTGGGCAGCCAATTGAATGCCAGATGTTCTTGATGTCTTGCTGCGGGGCCCTAACACTCATGCCGCTAGTTTTGTGAATCCACATAGTGCTGGGCAAGGACACGCCACTAGACTTGTCTTCGACTTGATTTTCTGCTTGATTCTGAGCGTGCGGGCCCGGACTCAAAGGCTTGTTGGGCATCATTCCCAGTCAATCTCAGATTCTGGTCAATGGACACTCATTCAATAGAGTGGCAAAAGGAAGGCTCAGGGTGCGCCCAGTAGTTTTGCCCTATTGCCCGTTGGGGACTCATCACAGCTGGGCTCGCTTTGATTGTGTTGAAGGAGGACCAGTCTCAGTGGATGCGGACCGTTTCACTTGATTGCAGTAGGAGCTCCTCAGCGCGGGTCGTCCGCCCAAAGAGCTGCGACAAATCGGAAGCACAGTCGCAGATCTCAGGAAAGCAGGCAGCCATGGCAGGGAGTCAGATTGTGCTAGAACCCATTTTGAAATAGCAGCCCTGGGTTTAGGTTGCTTCACTCATCCATTGACAATTCAGTTTCTGCTCTGTGGTGATGAGGGTCACAGGTTTGGGTCAAGAGTGCTGCTTTGAAGGCTTGCTGTCGCCAGGAACTCAATCCCCAGGCTGAACAGGAATCTGCTTCCAGAAGCTGGAAGCTTCAGGCTGAAACTCCAAGCTTGCATCAATCAGGCGTAAGCCCTTGCAGGTCTCCAGCCGCTCAGACCCATGAATTCATAAAGACAGGAGAGGAAGAGGAGTCAATGAAGGGCAGAAAGTTTTACATGCCTGGCCCCAGCTGTATGCGAGGCTTGCTGCCCAACGAAATCCGAGAAGCCGGCTTCAGCTACCTGGACATGATGCTGGGCGGATTTTGCCCAGATGAAGTGGAGGTTTCAGGTCTTGAGAGATTGCTCACATTGCAACATTGCTTCCGGGCGACTGGTGCAACCGCTCAGTCACGCCGTGATGTCGTGCGTAGTGACCCTGCGACCGAGCACTAAACTTGGAAATGAGCGCTTGACGTGAACTTATCCAGCAATGATGCCGGACACCAGGTCAAGTCCGTGTCAGTCCCATAGACCGTCTGTTCCAGACCTAGGCGGCAAGCTTCTTTGCAAGAGTGCCCATTGATTTGCTCCTGTCCCTGCTCTGAAGCCGCAAGGCTTGGAGGGAAGCTATGTCACACCAAAGAGAAGCTTTAACCCGACATTTGGTGCAGCACGCGAGGAATCTTAGCAGGCAGTTTTTGCTGAATCAGAGTTGCCCTCAAAGTTTCACTCACCCTTGCCATGGCAGCGTCGCGGCTTGTGTTCTTGGCGTGAGCCTAGGATGCTTCCTGAATGCGTGCAGGCTTGCCTCCACAGGATCGTCATACTACTACCACTAAAGACAAGCCCTGTCTCTCTGGGACAATACAGGCAACTGTGAGGGTTTTTGCCGACAGCTCAAGGATGATAGCGCTTGTTGGTGCTATTGTTGACTTTATCCCATCCGGCCTTTGTGGGAATAGGAGCATATGTGCAGCGAGCCCGCCGGCTCGCTCTGCACTAAGGCGTGTGCCTTCCGGGATGTTATCGCAGACATCGACAACATCTTTCCCATTCTGTATGCGAGGCTGCTGCTGTGACTGCAGGGGTAGCCCAGACCAATTTGAAAAAGCATCTAGCAAGTCAAGCCAATTCCGCCTCCATGGCGCAAAACTGTTTACGGACAGATCACATGCACATCTTTGAGGTAAATCATTCTTCAGTTGAAAATGCACACCTTGACCTACCAGCGCAGGGCTGCAGAGCATCCAAGCAAACAATGCTTGCACGTTAACGCTTTGTCAGCCATTGATGCCAGCAACCCCGTTGCTCGACACACGGCCTGCCCCACACCGGCGGGCACTGGCCTCAATGCGTCTCTAGCCCTGCTTTGCAAAATGCACGCATGCACCAGTCAGGTCAAGCCACAGTTTGCCAGCTTAGTGGGTACGAGGCTGGCGGCTAGCTGGACTGTTTAGCAACTGTGTGCTGCAATTTTCACGTCACCAAATATGCTTGGAGAAGCAGCAATTAATTAGATGCCCAAATTGCATTGAAGGATGGGGGCAGAGAACTCCAGTACCTCATCACCTCTTTGCCATCCAGCGGGGCTCTGCACGCACTGCCTGCTTGAAAGCTCGTTTGAAGTCCAGCAAATACCAGCTGATGGTTGCCTGGCAGGTATGAAACCTCGCAGAACTACAGAACTTACGGGACTGACCCGAAGTATGCCGCGACTTCCATCAAGGAGTATAAGTCGCTAATGCACTTCCACTCTCATGCCAGCAGCCGTTCCGTACAAGGACTATGAGCTGCCCTTCAAGGTGACAGATGCCTTAGGGTGCTCTGGACTGCAGATGTCAAATTCACAGTTTTCTGTTGCTTTACTTGCACTGCCGAGGCGGGTAGTCTACATTCCGCCGTCAGATGTTTTCCCGCCAGAAGGGCGCTGGGCTGCAATGACCTATGAGGTCCAGGACAGGAGCGTCTAAACAGCATCGGCGGACAGCTCCGGGGGAAGAAAGAATTCACTTTGAACGCAGGAGCCGCAAAGCGGCAACAAATCACAGCCTGGCCAAGTCTCCTTCAGCAGTCTGACACCCAGCACTGCCAGCAGGTACCAGCATGTGCCAACTATTTTGGATAAGGTTGCAAGGAGCGCTTCAGAAAAGATTCAATGCAGAATGACCTTTCCAGTTATGCCCTTGCTCGCTCATACTTGGGTGCTTTTGAGTTCAATTGGTCTGCGCGATACGCCCCAATACAAGAAGAAAGGGGTGACTAAGATTTGTGGAACCCCTCAAAAGGAACATTGGATGGGATTTCCTGATCCGTCAGAAATATTTCCTGGAAAGTCTTCTATGCATTCTGTTGTGCTCGGGTTCGGGGTCTTGAGGGTTGGGAGCATTCGGCGTTGATTTGCTGGATGAAAAACGGAGCTCTGAACACCCCCCAAGGCAAAATCTTGTTGCTCTTCCACCGTTTCAGCATTTCGCATGCCAAAACGGCCAAAAAGCACATCATTTCAGCCCAGCCAGAAGATGAATCAATCTTGCTGGGCGGTTTCAAGCAACAAAAGTAACACGCTTGTGACGCTTGTGAAGATTTCCACTCCAAGTAAAATCACAACATCAACACAATCAAGGGACCTTTTCTTCCAAAAAGGTGAGTAGAACATGGCCCGTTTGTTGCAGTCACAAAAACTGTGCATCATGTTTATTAGCTGATACTCTGTGCATTCAGCTCTTGAGCCCTTGCACAAATCTTGCAGAACCTTGCAAGACTCTTGCAATGACGCTTTGCACATGCAGGTACAGCTGGTTGCTCAGACCACCTTCCCACGTCTTGGAATAGCTTCGTTGGCACAGGTATCCAAGATAGGCCTGTGCCCCCTGCACTCTGAACTCTTGGTAACAGAGATTGACACCATTGACATGCACAACACACATCGGCGCGCTTGGCGGCCCACCTGGCCCCGAAGCTGCGCAACACTTCACACCAGAATTTCGGCCCCGAAGCTGGCCGCTTTTCGGCCGTTTCTCGCAAGACAGGATGAACAATATCGGCTTCCTCAGCCTTTGGGCGCTGGCCCCCTTGGCCAAGATCCTCTGATTTTCGTCCATTTCGCTGCTGCCTCTGAAGTAAAAGGCCTCAAGAACAGCTTGGAAATTCGTTTCTGTTCGGCCATTGTGTTTAGGGATGGTTTGTTTCACGTTTTGTTGCCAATGCAGCTTCTCTTAGGTTCACTTCTTCGTTTTTTTCAGGCTCCAGGGACGGTTCCGTTTGCCCTAGCCGGTTCAGTGCAAGCCTGAGTTTTCAACACGCCACATGCAAGGCGTCTGGCTGCTGCAACACCGCATTGACCCATTCTGATGACAACACAAAGATGCAGATACTTGGGTCAACGTGCCAGCTGCTGAATAAACAGTCACACCCTTCTTCCCGTTTCTCCCGCCATGAGATGGCCGCACTGCTTCAGCTCCCACATTCTGCGGATTCTTGGCCATTGGTGTACTACTACGCAATGACAGGGCAGGACACGCAGCTTCTTGCTTACGCATCACAATCAACGTTGCAGAGCACCTGCGAACTGAGCTCTTGCTGGGTACAAGATGGCAGTTGGCATCAGACACGGAATTGGAAAGGTTTCACAAGGGCACCAACTAGTCCCGAGCCATGTCAAGATGTCTCCATCACACGATGCACAGGGCCATCTCCATTGCCCCAACGAACCGAGATTTTAAGCGAACCGACTCAAAGCATGATTCGAGGTTCAGGTTAGTTCTACCGATGTATTGTTTTTCCCCGTCTGCTCAGCTCAGGCCCATCACAGCAAGTTGCAGCTTCTACCTTCGTGGGTGGCACGGATGACGCCTGACCGAACTAGGTCATGTTGGTGAGTGCAGTACTGCAACTGTTCGTTGAAAAGACTCTGGGTGCCCCAGCATCCGCTTCCAGCCACAGCCACTTTTAAAGGCATGGACCATCTCTGGAAACATCTATGCCACGGTACCCACCTGGCAGGCCTAGCAGCACATAACTTGTACAGTTACTGAGCGCAGAAGACCAGCTTGTCATAGCTGACGCAGGCTTTCGGATGGGGCATACTCAACCGTTACCTCTACGGTCCTGGTCTTGAATGGTAGAAGTCACCGTCAGTCAACAAGCTTGAGCTCGCATGCCTTGCCTGAGGCACTGACGAAGTGCAGTACATCGACTTTGATACCAGTAGCGACAAGCGAGACGCTCAAATTGTGGCAGCAGTCCGGGCTGGGCATCTGGCCTGACAACACAGTGATGAATAGCAGCAGCTTTCTTCAAGTCACAGTCACAACGTCGGGAGAAGATTTGTAGTGGGATGCATAAGCCAGAGATAGCACGCCATGTTGCCAGGTCTCCATGTTATTTGTTTCTTTGCTTCTGTTTGCTTGTGCGTTGAGTATGATTTTTAGGTCAAAATGGTACTTTGAAGCGCCACCTGGCAAGCCCGGCGCTCAACGCACGAAGTTGAAACTGGAAGCATGAGAGAGGATTTCTCATGGTCTGTGCACAAGCTCAGGTACTACCTGCCGGAACTGGCCGCATCTTATGGCGGGACCGATCCAGAATAGACTTTAATAGACGAAGGCGAAGTTGTAGGACAGCAAGTTGGAGCAAGGTTTGCAAAAGCAGCTGCCGCAAGGACGTTGCAGTTCACGATTGCCAGCACCTACGGTGATTTTGAGCATCTGCGTCGATCTCAGCACATCGTGAGGTGAAGCTCGGCAACCGCCTCGATGCCTGAGGAATAGCCCTTTGGATTTTATCACCCTAGAGTGCGCATCGTGCAACAGCGACCGCGGGATGCGGCTGGTGCGCTTTGCTGTCCTGCTGGCTAAAGATTGGCTTTGGCCCATCAGCATTGAGTGTGTGGCGAAATGGCTTTGATGCTTACATGTTGCTTGGAGTCTCAATCTCCTCGACATGAAGAATGGAACCGTGATGGGCTTGATCATATCGCAAACCAACACGTGCAGAACTTCATGGATGCCCAGTGGGTGTCGCTTCAATTCAAGAATGGCTAGAATCGGGAGAAGTCTCCTTGGACACCTCGCAGGGTGTATAGCCAAAGCAGCGGAGAGTGCTCTATGCGCAGCATGACGCAGGTGAGGTGCGGTGACGACCATGACCAGAATCTCAGGAGTGTTGACGTTAAGCGCCGTTTTGGACAGGGAAAGAATGTGGAACATCTAAATCCTGCGTGCGTCGGGGACTGCATTTTCTGCGGAGTCGATGGTGATTGGATTTAAAATAGGCCAACCCTAGGAAGTGCATCTGAGCATCACAACCACAGTTTGAAGTGCGCACAGAGCCGGTTCAGAAGGCTAGCAAGGAAACTGAGAAAAGGTGGATGTGATGTATTGGTCAGAAACCCCTCAGGGCCTGAGGACAAAGATGAGGGGGCACGCCAAGGTCAAGAGATGAATGGGTGTGTACCTTGCTTGAAGGTCGGAATTGCCACGATGGTTTCCAGACGGAAAAAGATACCAAAAATGTCCAGAATCAACATTGGGGGGCCCTGGCATCAGCATTCATGTCCTGTTCTTTGTTGCCTACCTGCAATGTTCCGCCGCAACCTGCCAGGATAATGGTTTGCAATGGGCCGGTGAGGAGAAAGTTGTACAGGCGTAGTGTAGGGGATGTGAAGTGATGTGTCTGGTGGACTACTCTTCATCCGCAGCAGGTAACCCTTGCCACCGGGAACCATTGGTGGCGAGATCCGATGAATGCAGCTGCACGGCCAATTTAGTGGGAGTACTACACAAGAAGGCGACCTGCAACGAGATTTGTGGCATTGAGGCGCTGCCTTTTACGGATGCCACGGAGTGCGAGATTGCAGCTGCCCTGTACTCGGAGGAAGGACGCGTAGGCAATTGGTGATGTGCCTTCAAATCTGATCCTTCCAGGTAGGCGACAGTTCCTGTATGTCAATCAAGTGACGGTTCTTCCAAAGTGCATCGTAGGAGGCATCCCGGTAGCTTTGCTCTTCGTGATTCACCCCAGTCAATCATTGATAATATTTCTGCTCAGGAAACCCATGTTGTTTGGGCTTCACGACATAGCATGGATGGATGTTCGCCGCATATTTCTGGCACAGAGCAGATCACCCTTCAGCAAAGCTCATGGCCGCAATGGCATGACCTCGACAAAGGATGCCAAGGCAAGTGGTGTTTGTAGCGGGGCAGCATAGCTTCCTGAAGGCCCAGCTGTCACCATTTGTGTGACGATCACAGGCCTTTGGTACCTGACAAGATCAAGGAGCAAAATGCGCTGCAAACCAGCGAGTTGCTCAATTCGATCCAGGCAGTGCTCCAGCAGCAGGCCAGGATTGCTTAACCGCAGCCTTCCAGAGGTCGCATATTTAGAGGACCAGGCCCGAGCAGGGGAGAATTGAGGACTAGATCTATACCAAGATCGAGGCTACGATGGAAGCAGCAACGACTAAGAGTTTTCAGCAAAAATGAAGCCTTAACGGTCCTTAACCACACGGCTGGATAGTTGGTGTCCAAAAAGTTGGCAGGAGCTACAGATTCAGGACCTCCTGACAGAGCAGACGGCGCTTCCTGACTCCAATGGTTCATACCACTTCACACTTGAAATTACCCTGCGGACCGTCCATGCTGCATACGGAGGAGAGTTGCAGATGTGGTCGATTTCATGCTTCGGCGAGCTGATGAGAACGCAGCACCCCAGGCACCAACTTCCAACTTGTTCATGTTGTCAGATGTAACGTGGATTGAAAGATGTCGATGTTCTCTGGCTTGACAGATTCTGGAGCCGGGCGTGGAGGAGGTGAAGGTTGCGCCGATCTTCTCGACCGCCTCTGCTTGAACCTGAGCGTATTCGGCAATCCCTTGGGGAGTTTCCACCTTGGGATCAATGCACAAGCACGTTAGGTGCAAGAGAGCACACATACTGATGACGCAGCGCAGCGGAAGGGAACCAAAAGCACCTCATCTGCACATCGCATTTTTCGACGAAAACAAGTAAAGGTGTACATGCCGTCGCTGACTTCGAGTGATTGTGCACTTTGGTCATCGCTTGCTGAGGCAAAAACTTGATGAGCCCTGGACGCGAACAAACACATAGCTTTATCGAGGTAGAATGCTAGAAAGTTGATGTTGCACAGCCAAGGACAAGCCTCAGCGCACTGCCGGCAGAGGTAGCTGAAGAGGAGCTCAGTCTGTCGTGATGAAAGCCTTTGTTATACAGCTCTTCTAGAGGAGGAAAGTGACGTGCCATTGGGCAAACGCCTTTGCAACTGGATGCGGATGCAGCTTGTGCTGCAACAACTGTAGCCCCCGAGGCATAAAGGCGACATCAGCAGAGCCAATCTGAGCATGGAGTGCTCTTCGAAGTCCCTTTGCTTCTAGCAAGGTGCTGCGCGTCTGCTGGAGAAGCAGTGCCGGCGCTTCTCATCGTAACCAATGCCATATTCTTTGGCGTCCAGGCGCAAAAGCTGTCCCGAAATCTGAGACAGGCGTAAAGCCTAAACACGCCTCATGCTGCGGAGTTTGCTGGTAGTGTGCTGATAGTGTGATTACCTGCGAGGCAGACTATGCAGTGCAGCAGCCAAGCCATGAAGTGCCGGAGTTTTTTCGAGTGGCAACCCGACTTCAACAAGTGAGGAATAGCTTGCGACACTACATTCCGGCTGATGTATCTTGCTCACCACCGCATCCTTTCTGTCAGAATTTTCCTGAACTTGCCCTTGAATCTTATCCATACCCCTCTGAAGAGCCTCATCCCTCTGGCATGTGAGATCATGGGTATGCTTTTGCAAGATGCTACCATTCTGGTGCTTGTATTCATGTACTTGGGAAGAACTGGCCCTAGCCTGACTCCAATCCTAGTCCTCTGATCGTCAATACTTGGAGTTTGCGGATTCAACCTCCGGTCGATTCAGGACTCTGAGAACCGAATGCCATAACAAATAACAAGGCCGCGCCTGAGTGCAGCAGAGATCCGGCAGCGTAAGTTTCTAAAGCTGCTGCGGGTGTTATGTCGTTTTGCAAGCATGCGCGAGACTTGGTGGAGTGAGATGACTGAGGCGAACTTGACATTCACAGTGTTGTTCACGCTAGAACTTCTGCTTCGACTTCTGACTGAAGGACAGGGCTTGAAGCATGTGCTGCAGTTGAAGATGAAACCCAAAACAAGCAATACTCTACCGATTTGATCAGATCAAAAACCTGAACACGAATTCTGAAGCAAGCTGCATGATGTTGCATGCCAGTTGACAACAGAGAAAGAAGCAACCAAATATCAGAGCCGAAGACGATGCATCACGATGCAATCAAAAATTCTGAACAGTACGCAGATGCACCACTGATTCTCAAGCTTTTGCTGGCAAATGCAACTTGGTTAGGGCCACCCTGAGGAAGGTATATGTTCTCATGCCTGAATCCTGATATCAAGTGGAACATCATGGACGCGGTGCTCGTGATGTTTGGGCTGCTGGCCACCTGGCAGCGCCAGCAGCAAAACAAAGCTCGTCAGGGCATTCTGTGAACGCCAAGGAAGAGGTTATGACCCGCTTCTTCACAGTGCTGGAAAGTGCACCGAACCTTTCATATGCTCGGATCCTGCGACGGGACCTCAGCCCTGTGGATCAGCCCCACGCATGCAGACACAGACGTCGCACATGGGGCCAATCCAGCTATATCAACGCCTTTGACCTACAACGTGGGGATAGTTGTTTGTCATAGCGCACCATGCCTTTGCGACTTGCTTCTCATTTTTAGGAGGGGAACTTTGCAAAATCATTGCGGCCAAGTTGTGAATGCACCCAAGGATTGCTGCGATTGGTTAGGGTTGCCCGCGTACTCCGCGTGCTGCGCTTTTTCTCCGACCTACGAGTGATGATTCTTGGCGTGCTGAGCTCATTGAAGGCAGATTGCCTTGTCAGTTTACTGGGCCTCCGGTATTTCTACAACGGCGCAGATAAACTGCAGGAATAGGTTAGGTTAGTCATCATGCTCAGCTGTTTCTTGGGCCGAGTTGGGAGTTGCTTTCGCTACGGACAGCCGATGTTTGCAAAAACGATGGATGACAAGTTTCGTAGACTTTGCAATGTAGTAAGATCATATGCCCATTGTCAGGGCCTCGGTGAGGCATCATTATTGAGCTCATCTAGCCCGTCCTTGTGCACGCTACACGGATATTTGTCAGCAAACTCATTTGGCAGGCTTTGATGTGGGCACTGATACTCCTCTTCTTCATCATCTACCTTACAGCTGCGTTCTGGCTGGACAGACAGGTCTGATTCAGCACCTGTGGTACAGCCTATTTTTGGAATCATTTGCAAGGAAGTTGCCAGAAGTTCATGATGCATACCACACAAGCTCTTGCTGTCATGGGCCTTGCACGCTGCTTCAGAAGTCTTTCCCTGACATGTCGAAGCTACAAGCACATTGCATTGAGCCAGCCCGAGGTGTGCATCCTGCAGTTTGTGGGCGAACACCTGGCGGACAATCCACAAGACTTTCCACGTGTCTAGACTGTTTTATGATCAGCTGACAAGGACTTTGCCTACTGTAGCCCAGCCCGGGCGTAGCGGCTCAGCCTGTGCATGCGCTGGCGTTTCACAGCCAAACGCCTGCGCAATTGAGAGGTTTAGAATGCCTTGGAGGCAAACAAGTCCATGTTTGCAGCGGGTGTCCTCTGCAGAATGAGGTGGGCCTTTGGAGTTTGTCGGCCTTTCTCCCTTCTCTTCGCTGAGATGGCCTGAGTTCTCATAGCGTATCATAGCGTGAAGTGTGTTGGGGACAGGAAATTCATGGTTTGCACTGCAAGCTGGATGACCTAGGCTTACGACATGCTTTACCTTGTTCTTGTGTCTTGGCTGGCATCAGCAGTCCCCCATGGCCAAGAATTCTCGCAAGCCAGCAAATCCTTTGCACGATGACCACAATTGTACACCCGAGGCGAGGCTGCAGGGCCTTGCACATTATTTTGCAAGTCATTCGCTTTGCTTGTGGATTGTGGATCGCTGTTTAGCTGAGCTGTTTGATAATGATGCCGGACGCGTAGCCATGGCGCGGGTTCTGGACTTTTCTGTAAGCTTTGAGCCAGAGTTCATTGCCACATCTTTGGCACGAATCTGGAAGCTGGAAGGGGGCAAATTCGTAAGACGTCGGGACGTACATGACCATGCCGTTGATACCTGTCCAATCTCCTTGGAACAAATGCAAGATCCAGTACTCATGAGCGATGGCCACGTTTACGAGAAGGATTCGATTCTGCAGTGGTTGGCAAGCGGAAACAAGTGCTCGCCGTGTACGCGTGCAGAACTGGCCCACAAGTGGGTTTTGCGACTCTGCCCCTACATCCAAACCACGGAGCTATTGCTTTCCTCCCAGACTGATGTCGCATCGACACAGGTGCAATCTAATGCCTATATGGATGGCATGTCGCAGGTCAAGATGTATGCAGCCAAATGTACAGAGGCGCTGGAGTCCTGCATGAATGATTGCCTCGCTTCGGGTGGGAAACTGAAATCCGCACAGCCCCACATCGCTGAGCTGGAGGCAATCTGTGCAAATTTGTTAACTCGTCTGGCTGAGCTCAAAGAAACTTTGCAAAAGGAATCCCAGACGGTGCGAGATGAGGCAGCCAACAGAATCCAGCGCTGGATGCGTCATCACATAGCTTCCGGGCGCCGTCGGAGGCAAGCAGCGCAGCTGGTAGAATTGTGCAGCAATTCTTTGCTGAAAGGCAGAATTGAAGTTGCTGCCAAGTGTTTCGAGCGCAATGACATTGACTACCGTCAGGTTGTTGCATGCCTGCGACTGCAAGGAGATGCCCTGCGCCAGGAGCTGGACAGCTTCTTGACGCCTTTGCAGAGAGCAGTCAGATCAGGCTGCGTTCATGCTGCCCGGTTGCTACTCCGGGCTGGTCTAACTCGCGATGACATCAACCTATGTGTATCTGACGCGGCAGGGGAAGAAGATGTCGCCTTTTCAAACAGCACATGTCTGCATCTGGCAGTGCATCCTAACCACATTGAAATGACCCGATTTCTCTGCCAAGAGATGGCAGATGTAGATAGGCCATGCACGCCCATCAACGTCACTGCCCTTGTCTTGGCAGCTCGTTTCGACCATTGTGAGATAATCGAGGAGCTGGTACGTGCCAGAGCAAACCTGGAGAAGGCCACCAAAGACTTTGGCTGCACACCGCTTTTCGAAGCTGTGTCACAGGGCAAAGTGGCCGCTGTCGAATTGCTGTGCAAGCTTCGGGCCCAGATTAATCGTTCCCAGACAGTTGGTTTCACGCCCCTCTTCCTTTCAGCAAGGAGACAGATGTAGTGTTCAGTGTCTTTATGGTTGGCTCACTGACTTTGTCTTCCCTAGATTCTTACGAATATACATTAGCGGAACCTTCATCTGCATTTGACAGGACTGGAGTGGGCGAAGTGACCCAGATTCTGGTGAGGTTGCGGGCGAATCTGGACAAGGCTGATGCCGGTAGCGGACTGACACCTCTTTGCGAGGCGGCAAGACGAGGACATGCAGAAGTCGTCCGTGTGCTGTGTGCAGCCGGAGCTGACAAGGACATCATCACGAAATCAGGATTTTCACCCTTGCTGCTTGCAGCGAGCAATAATCAGATAGAGTGCCTGAAGGCATTGTGCGAAGCCGGTGTTGACAAAGACAAGCTTTACCGGCTAAAGCTTTGGGACGGAGAGTTAGATTGCGACGAAGCTGACCACACGATCCTGTCATGCATTCTCGGGGAAGCAGGAGTGCGGCGGAAAGTGAAAGAAAGCAAGGGCAAGCACTTCACTTTGTGGGACTCTGGCTCTACGCTCTTTGCTTCTGCATTTCAAAACCATCCGGAGATTGTACAGGCACTTTGCGAGGCGAGGGCCGACATGGACAAGGCCACCTCAGAGACAGGCGTGACAGCTCTATTCATGGCTGCTATCAAAGGACATGAAGAGGTAGTCCGAACATTAATCCACGCAAGTGCAGATGTCAGAAAGCGCACTGGCAAGACCCAAATCACTCCAGCCGGAGCTGCAGCGCGAGCCAAGAAGGGGAAGGTGGCAAGCCTTTTAGCCGAGCTGGCGGATGAAGATGAATTCGAGGAGCCTTCGGACAAGAGGTTGGAGGTGACCCCGATTCAATCCCTCGAGGAGGTTGTGAAAAGGACTGAGGCTCCTCGGTCTAAAGTCGAAAACCTAGGGCGTAGTCTGTGCATCTGCAGTTTGTTAGGGGAGTTTTGCCTGCGTTTCCTGAGGCTATGCGCATATCTGACAGCGTGGGACTTAATGAGCCGCTTTCAGGACTTCCATTAGGTCTGCTTGACCTTGAGAATGGACCGAGAGGACCATCGATTTTTGACGGAATCGATCAACTGCCCGAAGAAAGGAGGCGTCCTGTTTTCCAGGCTCGCAGGGAGGCCTACTCCCGCACGAGCCGCTGATAGCACAGACACCCAATCGGCTCAGACAGCTGTACATTACCAACCTTTTGAATTCTGTCTGGCCACATGCTGCATGTGATAAGTTACCCCAAACAATGCAGGGCATGCACGTTATCAGGCAATGTCCTGGCTGGAAATCGCCTCAGCCGTGACAGGTTGAGAAAAGGCATGACAGCGACATTCGAGGGTCTGACAGTATGAATGCCAGCCTATGCAGCAGACACAGGTGAGACCCCTTACGTGCGTGCTGCATGCTGCATAGACCGGTTTTCTGAAAGTACCTATGAAGAGTGTCATGGACAAAGGCGCCTGCTCAACCAGTTACACGTCGCAGTCGTACTAGTACAAGCCAAGGACAATTTCGGGAGGCATCAGCTGGGGGGAGTTGGCTCCGCCACTCATGATGGTAAACCCAGTGGTGACTCCAATCCTCACGTTGTACATCGCGCTTGCAACGTCATCACCTCAGTGCCTCAACAACTTTCGGGCTGCGCCTAAAAAGTGGCAACTTGTTCCACTTCATAGATGCAAAAGAGCTAGTGCAGTTCGCATGAACGCCACCAGGGAGCCGCTAAGTGTTGCCCTCTCACCGCCAGTTTGGCCGTTATCGCCAAGGCATGGCACTACGCTGGCAAGTTGAAACCAAACAAGCTCTGCAGAAAGGGCCTGCCAAAGAGCAGTCTAAATGTGCAGAGCTTCCTTGGGGAAGCAACAGAAGGTGGAAGTGGAATCTTGTTATTTGCAGGCAGGGCACAAACCATGACAGCACCACCCCCTTGCATCAGGATCACCAATCCCATCAGCACTCTCACATGGCAGACATGGCATTTGTCACACCATCCTGGCATGGCAGCGAGAGCCGCAGTCAAAACCTGTAGCAGCTAGAGGGCATTCAAGATTCGGAGCTCACATCGTTCCGCATCCCCATGGTATTTGTCTTCAGCGTCTGTCTTGCGCAGTTGCCGAGTAGTGCCGGGATCGTCAGCTGTAAAGGCTGAGGGCCTGCCAAGTTGTCTTGTCCTCATGTTGGCACCTAAGCTTGGCATGCAATGGACCCTCCTCCAGCCAAGCGATGCAACATCCCAAGTTCAGCCCTCAGCAAGTTGATTGAGCTCGAATCATACCCTGAGGTTCTGTGTGCTGAACATTGCCCGGTCCTTACTCTGTCGCGTCAATCACACCTTGAGGAAGATTGTTTCGTGCCAAGCCCTCAGGTTACGGGCGTGTTCGTCGACCGTTCAGCTGCTATGGCTCTACAAGACGAAGAGAACATGATGCTGGAGGAGATACAGAATCGAAAGAGATCCTCAGCGAAACTGCCCAGCTGACAGGGTTGGCACATGCTGCAAGAAGCTCGCTTCACTCAGGATGGATAAAGGAGATCGAGACCTTGCCAGGGCCTTTATCAGCACAAAACACTGGAATATTTTCTTCATAAAGAAACAGCACATGCAAGTGCCCAACGCACCTTTGCACTCAAGCTGGCGCTATAGAAGGTAGCTGAAAATTCCTTAAGTGCGTGCATGTGTCATGTCGCAGGTGATGTCCAAGTGCAGTTTAAGATTGCAATGGCAGCTTTCATGGAAGGAAGCCGGCCGGTTACGAGCTGGTCCATTACAGCAGCCTGTTGTGTCCCCGCATCAGGTTCACCAAGGCCGACATGGACGGCAGCGGCAATGTTGAGTGGGAGGAGTTTGAGAATGCCTTGACTGACTTTCGCGTCCAGCTTTGCTTCAAAAATCTTGGGAGGGGGCCCTGGCATCCTAAAAAGAATGGGCAGAGCTGTTCAAACTTATGCACAGGAAAGGCAATACCAGCCCAGTACTTACCAAGGATTGACATCCACAAGGTGAGCTTGGAACAGATATGGCAGTTGATCGATTTCGACAACAAAGGCTACATTGAAACTTTGCACAAAGCTTGTTTGAGTTTGCAGACTGCTTGCTGCTTGGCCAGAACTCAAGATCTGCAAGCTGAGGACATCAGCGAGTTTGCGGACTGCTTGATGGAGATGCATGGCGTCGCACACAGCATTGATATTGCGCGCTTGAGGCGTCATAGGAATTCATCCGTGCACCACCCACATAAGACAAGTTTTCCTGCGCAGCAGTGTGCACTAGAGCTGTAAGGATAAAGTTGGATGCGCCCTGACCTGGATGTGGCAGGCACGAGCAGCAGAGGACGGCACGCAAGCTGGAGCACGTCCACAGGCCAGATCGTTTGTCGTTAGCTCTGTTCATTGCTTTTTGAGGCCTGCAGTGTTTCATTCACTTGCTGGCCGAAGGTTGTGCGAAACAAACTTCCAGTCGCTGCAGACCGAGATCTCACGTCTACCTCCTCGAGCAGGGATGCTAGCTCGCCCAACCTACTCAGAGCGGATTATTGATGTCAGACTCGCTCGCGGATGGTAAACTCTAACTATCGAGAGCTTACACGTCCCACATCGTTTTAATGCAGGCAGGACCGCGCATTTATTACAACTGCATAGTGCACTGGCTCGTGTCATAAGCCTTGATCCGCGAAGCTGCAAGATTAAGATGTTTCCAGCTTTTGATTGGGAGGCTTTCATATGGGTAGCATTGTGTCGTATCTAAGGAAACTGCAGGGAGGTGCAAGTGTGAAGTGAAAAGCCAAGTGTGAGGGCACCGAGCTTTCTATGTTGGGACCTCGCAAAACGAGGAATCATGTGTAGCGGGTCTAGAGCAGCGCGGAGGTGCAGAAGATTTGTCATCAATGATTCGTCCTGCACTTCTGCAAGCCGCCCGCAAAAATGGTCTAAATAGAATTGCTTAGGCGGAGACCCAGTTTGCAAAAGTACAGTGAAATTGAAGACAAGAAAGCAATCGAGAACATCACAACGGTGTTAGTTGGCTTTGCTAACAGATTCAAGAAATGTGTTGATGCACTGCGAAGCGAGCACAAGGAATTTTATAGAAGCAGACTGCACTTCAGCTCTGCCAGGGCACCTGGATTTCGGAGAACGTTGATAGAGGTGATAGAATGGCTGGAGCGTGAGTCTTCGAAAAGAAGCTCTGCTTTTCGCGAAGGTCCTAAAAGGAACGCTTCGGCACAGCCTGGAAGAAAGAATCGTTGGCACAGAAGTAAAGAAGCTTGTTTATAGCGGGGAGCCGCTGTGCCCGCTGTGTTGCCCGTGCCTGCTGTGCGAGTCCATGCGAGTCCCAACATGATGTTGTTAGAACTCGGAGCAGGCGACTCACAGATAGCGAAGTCAAGCTTGCCAGGCGTGTACAGATACGGAAGACAAAACTAGCAATACATCTTAGGCGGCTGTAGGCTCATGGAATCCTGGAAGCTATCAGTTGTTTCAGCTTCCGGCTCATGATATGCGAGCCAACACGGGCTCTTGACATGAATCTCATCCAACTTCCCCTTCTTCAGCATCAGCAGTGTGCTGCCCAACTAGGTGCTTCAGGGCCTTACTCGCCTTGCAATCCTTGGCGATTTCACCCGTGCTGGTGAGGGAGTTGCATTGGACGATGTTTCGGCGCTGCTCTCAGCATTTTTACTGGGACTCATCAAGAAAGTCGTTGATTTGAGGCAGATGAAAGGCATGCATGTCTGTCAACTCCATGAGGACTTGCGGTACTGGCAACCATGCCAATGTTCATCATCTTGTAAATATTGCTGACCTTCATGATGCCAAGATATCAACGAGTGCAGCACAACCGAGCTTCCCATTGTCCTGCCAGCAGGCGGGTAGCATTTCGGCAGATACACGTGTGGTGCACGCTCTGATTACCAATTGTGGCCTGCAAGTTGCTGCCGGCTGCACACACCCAAATCTTTGGAAGCCTCATCAGACATTTGGACTCCCACGCACTTGTCAGGGCTGCATTTGTGCGCATGATCAACGTCAGAGAAGGATTTCGTGTTGCGGAAGCGACCCAGATGCGGAGAACTCAGAAGTCAGCGCGCTTGTAGCAGTTGAAGCGTTGGCAGCTGCACCTGAGCACGTGCAGTGTCAGAGCAACATCCGTATGTATGATGAGGTATACTATCCTTTCTGAGAGTTTGTCCATATGCTGGGTTCTGCAATGCGGGACCAAAATTAATGATGGGAATCCAAAGCGGGCTTTGAGAGCAGCATATCCAGCTCCTAGATTTCACAGACTAATATCAGAGATAATACCGGATGACGGAAGGGATCCATTTGAGATAAAGGCTTGTACTATACAATTTATTGACTATTCACATAGGATTCTTTATTTGATGCATTTTATCGGAATGAATTAGATTGAACTTAGGATGGCTGTTCCTGATTAATTAGTCCATAGAATTCAAAAGAAAAAACTTAGTTTTTCGGATATAGATCCTAGAATTTCAAAATGGAACTATCGCAAATATAGTTATTCAAAGATTTCTTGGTGATATAAAAACCTCAATATTACGATGCGGCTATTTGCGGTTATTTCGCTCGCGCGTGGCCTAAATTTTCCGGCTCACTTTCAAAATGCCTCACTAGGGTTTGGAAAAAATTTGGAGATTTTAAGGGCTCTTCGGAAAAGCTAGAGACTCTAAATTTCCGAGATTTTTGGTGCGGGTGGGGAGGGGCGGTTAAAAATCTCGGAGATTTTTGTTTGGGCGGCCCTTGCCTCCGGAATGGTTTTCTGCGTGATTTATTCGTTTGGGCGGCTGCTTGGCGGAGTATATACCTAGCGCGGGGGGGGGTTGGTAGTTTATCGGGCTTGTATATTGTTTGGTCGCAGATTTCTCGTTATAGATCTTCATTTCCTTGTTTCTGTTATTGTAGTTGGCTGGTCAAAATTATTAAGATTTCAATATTACGATGTGATTACGTACGATTATTTCGATCGCGCGTAAGGGTTTTTCTGTTATTGTAGTTTGTTGGTCAAAAATATTAAGATTTCAATACTACGATGTGATTACGTACGATTATTTCGATCGCGCGTAAATTTGAGTAAATGAGCTTACGTATTCGCTGAGGAATTCTAAAATCTCGAAGATTTTAGAATTCTTCAAAAAATCTTGGAAATATTTATAGATCGTAATTTTTTATGGAATCGGTAAATTTAAATAGAAATTTCGGATTTTGTTTCAAAAATTGATTTATTTCTTATATAGCTAGATATGTGGAGTGAAGGGATTAATAGGATTATAAGATTATGCGTTATAAATATATGGCAATTAATCTTAAATGAGAAATACTTTCACTTTCACTTTCCACGCAGCAAAAGCAAGTCTTTACTTGGCGAATCTATGGACAGGCTCTTCGGCCCGGCGCCTCTAGGCTGCTGTGCAGTGCACATCCAGGACTCCTATCAAAAGCATGCAGCATCTACCTCGGTGCGAATACCCAAAGCAGGTAGACGTTAGGCATTATCACAAACGTAAAAGAGCAAGTGCAGTTTGGAGTGTATGCTACTCGCATCCGAGTCAGTCAGGCTCACAGCAACTTTACCATCATCGCTCATGAAAACTCCACGATTATTCATCCAGAGCAAAGATTGATAATGCCCACAGGACGGTGTCGGCCCGGGGTGAAAAATGGCCGCATGCAGACAGAATCCGTACATGCTGCACTGTAAATCATCCGGTCCAGTGAACACAGTGATTCTGGTTTCAGGAATGACCCGTCTATGAGATTTACGAATGTCGTTCCCCTCACGTATGAATCTGCAAACTTGTAGGCACAGGATTTCTGGGCGTCTCAGGAGACCATGTACCTGCGCTTGCTATGCTAACCATCAATAAGATCCTGCACTAAGCACGGGTGTTCCGCCTCATTCGAATTGAATTCCAAGGCTAGCGGGATCGTGCCTCCACGGTCGGTTATACGGCATGTAAAGTCTTCCAGCTCTCGAGCTTGCCAGTGTC